CATTTTCTCCTGGGGAGTATCCTCTGACCTCAGGCAGTGTAATAATCAGCGTCACTTAGTGTAGGACAATTAGCTGGTTGTATTTTGACCTAAAGCCCCTTGTTTGCACAGACAGTCTCAAAGTGTTCATTAGACCACAGTCTGATTCACGGGGGCAGCTTGTGCAACACGTGTTGCTGTTTGTCAGCTCAGACTGGCAGTCTTCTGGTCTTGTGTCTGTTTTTATAGCTGAAGCAAAGTTTGGTACACCAGCCCAGTTGTGCAATAAAACATGACTTAGCAAATAGCTTATTTGGCTATTCGTGTCAACGCTTTTGTATCTGTTGATCGGATCCCTTTTTTTGTTGTTCTCCTTTTTTTTACTTCAGTAGAAAGAACTAAATAGTTTCCTCCTTTCTTCATCATCACTGATTTTTTTTTATAAAGAGGAAAGAGGAAAAGAGAAAAAAGAGGAAATGTAATTAGAAAGATTGAAAGAGAGATTAGAAAATATATTAAATATACACCAAAAAAACACAAGGCCACACACCTGACATCTGTCTGCTCATCTGAAAATAAGCGGATATAAGAAAACATAGCAACAAAAGACACATCCATATAATAAAATTAATTATAATTTCTCTGTAAAGCATATATACATACATTCTGTAGATATACACACACACAGACATATATACACACTCAGTGACCAGTCAGAACCCCCTGGATCTGAACACCTGTTTGTGAGCATGCGTGGATATACAAGATTTTTCCATTGGAATATCCAATACGCCCAGTTGTGCAATAAAACATGACTTAGCAAATAGCTTATTTGGCTTTTCATGCCTATGCTTTTGTATCTGTTGATCCTTTTAAGTGCGACAGTCCCTCAAGCTTTTAAATGTAGTGCCCATTATTTAGACACTATGCACTGTAGCTGAAAATAGTTTTTCATTCTTTGGTGACCCATTGTGGTAACAGTTGGAAAATTACAAAGGCTTGTCTCTGTTGAGAATTAGAAGAAGCTTAACTAAAAGAAATATWTTTTTCTTCCCCTCATCCAGGGCAGAACCTTTACTGACCCAGATCAAAGCGGACAGGACCACGGTGGTTTCTCCTGTGTTTGATCGAGTTAACTTTGATGATCTCAAGGTTGTTCATTACCTTCCATCAGCTCACGCCTTTGACTGGGCCCTGTGGTGCATGTACGAGGGATTTTCTCCAGATTATTACAAACTCAATGACAGCTCCTTACCTGGAAAGTAAGTTTATATAGATCTAATCGGATTTTGTTTTACTTTCTATACGTAAAACTTTAAAATGAAAATGGGATGCTTATTTTTTTACCACAAATGTATAAACTCTGCAGTATTAATAAGTCATCCTCTTTACCCTAATGCAAAGATTCTTAATCCATGGGCCACGGCCCAATTGTGAGCTGCGAGCACCACCTTGAGGGCCTCAAAAGAACAACAGTTTTTAACTTTGGGCCGCAGCGCATTGATTTTGAATAAGGTGCAATACACTTTCTCACCACTAGTAGTGGTAGTGCGCCACTCAGATGTTAAACAACTTTTTTAATATGTAGAAGAGCCTTAGAAACTTGCTGAGAATGGAAACGTATTTTAAATGAAAAGTAGAAGCAAAAATGAAAGTAACTCGTCAAAAACACCAAAG